TCAAATTTTTTCATTCGACATATATTTTTAGATAGGTGATAATAGTTTAGATACTTTAGGATTACTGTTATTTTTTAAATAGCTAATTTTAAACATTTTTTTTTAACCAATGTTAAATAAAAATTAAATTAATAAAAATATAAATTACTAGCTATAATATATTTTTTCATAAATACAAAAATAAAACAACACAGTTGCCTTATTAGGTATTAAAATAGCTAAATTTATTATGTTTTTTATTATGATTAAATGCAAATTAATTATTTAGTGTTAAATATTGAATTTATAGTAAAAATTAGTTACAACAAATACTTAAGTTCAATATTTTTAACGATAAATAGCTTTCACCGTGGTATAATACATCTACTTACTTTTGTATGAATGTTAGGTTAGATACCTGAATATTTTTATACAAAAACTTATATTTGTATAATTTATGAAAAGTCTCAAAGTACTATAGAACTATTTTTAATTTATGTTTGCAAATTATTACGATAACTTATAGAAATTTAATTTAAAAGACAAATTAATAATTACTGTGTTAAGTAAATAACAGTCAAATAAAACAAAATAGTGTTTTCATTTGAATAATTGAATAAAAAAGTGCAATTATTTAAAGTTTAAAATCCTTTAGTAGACAGAATAGAGTAGTATTAATGTAATATTTAAATATTATATCTTAATTTTTAAAAGTTAAAAAAAAAAAAAAATTTACGATTTAAATCACTCTAGTATATAGTACCATTGTATCGATGTATTTTGATGAGTAATTAAAGCTTGAATAATATATTAATTATAATTTATTATAATATCATTAAATAGTAGCTAGCATATTATTAACCATTTCTCAAAAATCACTTTATAACTGTAATTATGTTATATGTATACATTAACTATTTAATTACCATATCATTAATTAAAAAATATTATCATTATTGTTTGATTTCTCATTGTAAATTAATCAATTCAATTATAACTATAAAAAACATTCTAAATTAACCAATTTTCTTTGTATTATTTAACATGTATAAGTGTACAACTGTTGGCTATAGTAAATATTATTTTCAAAAAAAAAAAAAAAAAATGTTTGTCCTAATAAAATAGTTTGAATAATATAATAATAACTTTAAATTTACAACATTCAATGTAATAAACTATTTCATATAATTTATGTAATATGTAAAATTATTCAAAGATATACTATAAGTTCTAGTTAAAAAAATAAAATTAAAATAATATTATGAAGTTAATAATTTTGAAATATTTTTGACAAATAAAAAATCTAGGTAGCTTTGGTACTTAGGAAGATTAGTCAATAGTTATAGACTCATAAATACTATGTATTCACATAATTTTGTTACTACACAACTGCCAGCAGCCGAGAGGAGCTGAGTAGTAAAATTTTTTTAACCACTTTTCACTATTCACTCTTTCCATTAAATGCGCATATTAACAATTTTAGACATTAATCATTGTAGCCTATACTAATATAGAGTACACAAAATTAATATTTAATGTTATTTAAACATTTATAATTTTATCCATTATGATACTATAACTATAGCAGCTACTAGTCATACCAAGGACAAATAGTATGTAATACTATAATTTGTAATTGGTATATTTTTTTTGAATTAAACGTTAAACTGGGTTCTCAGTTACGTAGATAGTCGTGTCACATCCTAAAGTAAGTTCGTCTTAACTTTGAAAGGTCATGGTTAATGAATAGTGGATGATATAATGATTACAGCGACGAATCAGAATACGATAAGAGTCATTCGACACGAATTTACAACATACGTATGACGTAGCTGTGAGCACAGCTTTACGTTTAGTTTAGTATATTATATAACATTATAATATACATACGTAAAGATCTTTTTTTTATTATCATACGTATTAACATTAATAACTTTTATAAAATTTTAAAAATTTACAGTAGTCAATAGGCAACATTAATTATCCTATGCGCTCTATTATACGAGTGTATTCAGTGTTTATTTCAGACTCGTTCCGGAGGGCATCTCATTAAATTATTTTACTTTGTTTTAATGTAATTCAAAGAGTATTAATTATAGAAACTTTAAAATTGTATTACAATCTATTTGGTATTTAAAGGGTCAAAAGTAAATAATTCCCATTACTTTTCTTCATAATAAGGAAAAATAAAAAAACAGTAAAACTGATATTTTTAAGCTAAATCAATTTTGTTATAATTCAAAAATAAATAACCGTAGATACGATACTTGAAATATTCACCAAAATATTTTTATATTAGTAATTTAATAAAGTGTTTAATTTTTAAAATATTTGACTGTTTTTTTAGCTATATATATATTTTAAATACGTTTATGTTTATATTTTATTATTCACAATGGCATTCTTAAAATATTTAGATTAATTTTTAACTATTGCATAAAAATTACTAATAGAAAAATAAATTTGGTAGGTACCAAAGTAACATTATAAAATATAGTACATTATATAATATAATTGGTAATATTCTCGCCGTTTCTTCGCTCAGAATAATTATTTCCATTGATTTACTATCGAATTTAGATTTAATACATCCATTGTAATGTACCTACTCTTTGACAAAGTTCACTTGAATTCTATTGTATTGGAGAGCGGTTACCTAGTTAGTTAATACCCATACATCCACTTTTTTATTATTTATATTACCTATGAAATAAGTATAAATTTAGTATTTAAATAAGACGAATTCAGTGTTGTTTTTATGTAACATACTTATGTATAATATAGATAAAAACCTTGTATTTAAAAACTATAATTTGATTATTATATACACAAACACAATATGGTTTGAAATATATTGATTAAATATCTCCAGGAGGTCATCTCTCCTTAAATAATCAGTGGGTGTATTGTTATTAACGCTTTGTATGAACAATAGAAAATTCCAAAAAAATTTCTAAATTCAGTTCAGTGTTTATTATGAATTTGCAGTGACAGAATTACCGACAGTTACCATTATATGTTGTTTTAAATATTGTAAGTTTCAATAACTGTTTATTAGTATTTTTTTATTTTGTTTTTTTTTTTTATGAAATTAGAGTTTGAACTGTCTTTAAAGTTGAAAGTTTGAGTTTTGAATAAATATATATCCAAAATATTTGTTAATTTTTTATTTTTTATCAATACAATAATAAGTATTATACATATATATTTATGTTTTCAATCAACTTGCTTTATGTGTAATAAACTTATTAATCGTAATCAAATTGGATTTTTAAATAAAATAGCAGATACAAATTAATTAAATTATTGATTTATTTTGTTAAATATAAAAAAATCCAAACAAATCTGTATTGTAGTCTTAAATTAGATGCACTTTAAACACGAATTAATCCAATATTTAAATAATTTAGCAAGTATATTCAAAATTAGGCATGTTACGAATCGCTTTACGTTTAAAATGAGATCTTAATTTATAATTATTAATTTTTCATTTGCCTATGAATAAAGTTTAATCACGGCAATGATAATCGAATTTCAATCGAGTAAAAACAGTTTAAAATTCTTAAATATTGTATATTAGTGTTTAACGTTTTGATTTTGTTGAAAATAGAAATATTTAATATTCATAATTCTAATGTTGTGTTCTAATTCGCGATTTTATAACTTTTGGTAACTTTTAAATACGAGTACAATCGTGCTTTAATTTTAACAGCTTTACTGTTTAAAATATAATTTTAAAACTACATATTATACATTATACAAGCTTTAAAAGTCTTACTAAAATATATAAATAACATCTAAGAACTAACGTAATTAAAAATTTACAACTATTATTACTGCAATTGTAATATATAATTGAAGGTCTACTATTCAGCAGGTATAACAATCACGAATAATGCTTCAGAAATAATTTCCCATATTTAATTGTCAAATGTGAAATGTGTCTATGTATTATAAATAGTATGAGAATGTTTAGTTGTTTAGTACAAGTACTTGGCGTTTTTTTAATTTAAAAGAAAAAAAAATGTAAAATTTTTTAAAAATTATGTAAGGTTTTATGTCAATTATGCAATGAGCTATGAAATACGTTATATGGAAAAAAAAGTTAGAAAATTGGCAGTGTCTTGTATAATTTTAGTCTGTATGTATCCAATGTTTAGAGTACTTATATTAATAGGTAAAATAACAAAATTGAGAAACATGGCACGAGATAACTTTATTATACACGTAAACTTGAGTACAAACGATTTAAAAAAGCTCGCATCCGTCTGCTGAGTTTTTCTTTGTGCGTAGTGCAACATATTCTTCAAATACCTATACAACCTACACGGATAGACACTTTACGATATACATAAACGTAGCTGCATCATCGACGGAATGCACCTGTATATTAATACATAATATATATTCGAAATCTTATAAATATAGTTAATACATATAATACCTAATGTCATAATGGTCGTCAGGCGACAGTGGTATATTACGTTATGTATTAACCGTCTGAAAATTACGAAAAATCTGAAATCGGCAGAAACTGATCGATTCGGATGCTGCGGGGGGGGGGGGGGGGAGTGTTGATTTGTCGTGCCCGTTTGGCGATGAAAATTCGCATCACTTTAACGATGTAGGGCAAGGGACGACGGCGTTCGGGTAATATTTTCGGATCTGTCTGCCGAGCCGCCGAGGTAACGCCTATAACGCGAAAACTCGGCCGACCAATAGCTGTGAACGGTTACGCGACCACCGACGACCGCAGCCGAGCCCGGTTAAACCGACGGAATTTTACGCGTGATGCCGGCCACCGCCGCTGCCGCCGCCGTAGCCGCCGTAACAGTCGCCGCCGCCGACGCCGTCGCCGGCCAGTGACTCTTACCGGTTTAGTAGCTACACACAGCTGTTCGGTGCGTGTGTGGTCGACGACCGCGGAGCTTGAAAATCTTCTGCCCGTGTTTGTAGTCGTCCGTTTGTTCAACACCATCGCCACAATATTTATTTTGTTTATTGCTACGTGCATATGTATATTTTAATTTCGTTTTATCAGTTTACTGTAAAGTGAATAAATTTGGAATTCAGCACGACGCGTGTTTATGCTGTTTAATGTGCGGTTGATTGCCGGATGATGCGTAGTATGTCTGGAAAATTATCACACGTTTATATTGATATGGTGGAACAGATGACTGGAAAATAATGAAAGCCTTACCGGACAAAACGGAAAGCAGTGATGACGTGGACAACAGTACTGTGGACGCGAACGTGATCGACGAACGCGGCACTGCGGTCCTGGAATACGAGAATGTAATTGAAATACTATCTTCAGACTCTGAGACCGAAGAGAAGGCACAGGTCTGTGGCGAGGAGGAGGAAGAGGAGGAGGAGGTGGAAGAGGAGGAGGAGGAAGGGAAGCAGGGGGAACAGGAGAAAGAGGAACAGGAGCTGGAGGAGGGAGAGAAGGAGGAGGCGGTTTCCAGCAAACCGCGTAAGTCTAAAAAAAAACATAAGAAACACCACCACCATCACCACCACCATCATCATCATGAGAACGATGACACTCGTACCCGGAAAAAACACAAGAAACGATCGAAACAGGAGAGTGGTCCAATATTTCTGTGGGCTAAAAAAGAAGAGTCGCAAATATTGAAAGTATATTGTGAAGATTACGATGCGGGTATCAAACTGGTCAAAACCAATGGCGTATGGACTTCTAGTCCCAGGTCTAGGGTTTTGGCAGCCGTTCAAGCGCGTTCGTCTAACGGCGGACATATAAACGTTAGCGAGACACCGATAGATTCCAACGAGTCGATCATGCAGATACCACAACCGGACGATCGAATCAAAGAAAGTTCAAAGAACTGCGAGCCAATACTTGTCGACCTGAACGACAATTCTATTGACTTTGTAGATACTATAAGTAGTGAAGAGGAGGACGATGAAGAGCAGACTAGAGCTAGGATTGACCGAGCACTGGAAATGATTGACCAGGACCCTGCGTTGATGAGTGATGTGAAAATTCCGTTACCTACTGTTGAGACAACTTCGGCCATCAAGTTACCCGAAGGCACGACAATCCACCAGATCAAAGCTGAAAACGTCGCGGCATGCGAAACCGTCTCCGTAGCGACGCCATCACCACCGCCGCTATTATTGTCCGAGACGCCAATGATGCAGTGCAAGCTGGGTGAGTTAACTATAACAACACAGCAGCAACAGCAAAACGAACCGTTAAACCTGGAAACCGTGAGTAAGCGATCTGCCTTAGAAATTCGATTACAGGAACCGCCACTTAAAAAAAAACGCGTAGATAAATCCCCCCCTGCACAACCGCCATTAGCTGTTGGACAGGTAAAACGCGAGTGGGATCCTTTGTCAGAACTGAAGGAAGTGCTTTCGGACCCCGGTCTGTCCGTACCCGACCCGTTGCTCGTACCCAGGGCCAGGCTAGCCGCGCTAGTGTCCAGCCCAGCCACAGAAATACCAAAACTCTTGCGAGAGCCATTGGTATTGCCGCCACCGCCCCCCGACCCTGACTTGTTGGCCGTCTCGTTATCACATCTCCGGTCCATGTTGCAACAGCATCCGGGCTATGCAGACGACCGCAAGTCGGATAGTAACCAATCATCGAACATCGACCAAATACTATGGTTGTCATACTTGTCAAAAGACATGACCGGCGTCGACGCCGACCTCATATCTACAATGTTGAGCATCCTCCTGCCCAACTCGACAACTGCTCAACAATCATTCAGCTACCCTCAAGATAAGAACCAATGGAACAACCTGTATTACGACGGCAATATCGAAACGCCGTACGGTTCCACGCCCGGTTTTAGTAAATCGGACGATTGTTGTGCGCCGGTGTCACCACTTCCGCCGCCGCTGCCATTGCCACAAATATTACCAGCACCACAGCAGCCACATCCACTTTTATTACCACCACCACCACTACCACCGTCACAAATAATACCAGCAACAGCTGCACAGCCACCAATATTACCACTGCAACAGTCACTAAAACACCAACAATCACAATTGTTGCCGCCGCCGCAACCTCGTGTGCAGCAACAGCAAATACCACGACTTTTGCCTAAGCGTTCACAGCAGCACAACATGACATCACAACTGCAGCGGTTGCCATCACATCCACAGCAAATGCCGCCACCACAAATGTTGCCATCACGTTCACAGCAACTAATGCCACCACTAATACAACCTCCAGTCCTACACCGTCAGCCAAAACGACGGGTTTGTCAAGAGCTGTGTTGCAACGGATCGCCATCATCGTGTTATGGAGGCAGCTATTGCCCAAAACCGAGTGGTTACAATCCGTTTACCACGGTGTCTCCTAACGGCTGCAACCCATTCGCTATATCTACGAGTGACTGCAATCCGTTCACTGCAACTCCTACTGCTAGTTGTGGTGGCGGCAATCCAAAGACTTGTGCCACATACGCGGCGCCGGGAGCGATGTCGACTTGTTGCTTCTCATCGGAAATCAGTTGCGGGTATAACGGTAGAACTTCGTCACCAATGCCGCCGCGAAATCCGTCCGTATCACCTCGCAACCGCGCTCAATACAACTACCATAACGGTCCGGGGCAACAGCAACAAATGCCTATGCCAGAAGTTCGTAGCGTTGTCAACGGCTGTTGCATTAGCGTCACCGGCTGCAGCAGTGGCGTCACTGGCTATAGTAATGATGTTAGCGGTTGTAACAGTAGCGTTACTGGCATTAACAGTAGCAGTGGCGTCAACGAAAATAGCAATGGCGTCAACGGCAATAGTAGTACCGTCGTTGGCTGTAACAGTGGTGTCAACGATAATAACAGTGGTGTTGACGGTAGTAGCAGTGGCGTCAATGGCAATAGCGTTAGTGATATTGGCGCAGATGCTCATAGTTCGGTTGCGAATAGTAAACCGAAAACGCCACTGCCCGTGAAGCCTGCCAATGGTGACGCCGGTCAGCCGGCGTACAGACCTAAAATCAAAGTCAAAGAACATTTGATCGACCCGAACGCAAAACCAAGACTTTTGAACATTGAGGGTGCCCTTCATCTTGCTGCAGGTGGTCATGACCTGTTCAGTTCGTCTCTTTGGCATCCATTGTTCGGCAGGTAACTATCACGATATTCTATTAAAATAATAAAAGTAATATTTATTTTGGTAAAGCATTTCTCATAATACTATAGTATTAGAATAAACGTGTAGGTCGTAACAAACCGTAATCCCATGAACAGTCCCGTTAGCCCAATTTTAACAATAAAAACGGTATTTTATAGTACGACTGTAACGTTTATGAAAACAATTTTGTCAACAAACATTTTTCAGGAATAATAGAATACTTGTTCCTTTATTCATTCTTATTTAAACTATTTTGTCATTCTTTAATAGAATATAGATGTATTCCAGCGAAAAAATATATATTTAAGGTCGCTGAAATCTTGTGTTTAAAACTGAAAGTTGGTATTTTAGTATCATATAATGCATTTTAATGTATTATCACACCGAACTTACCAATTTAATTTTAGAAAAATATATGGTATAAATATACTTACTACAATGTTTTAATTTTAATTTTATTTAATTTTTCAATTTTTTTAGAGACTATTACTTGTTAAATATATTATATGATTGTGCACTTGTTACTATTTAAATAAAAACAATAGGTAACCAACAATATACCTATTTTATATAATTTGATATATATATATATATAGTTTAAATATTATTTATCGTAGAAATAAATGATACTGTAATCAATTAGAAAATAATTGAATAAATAAACATAATAGTTACAAAAATAAATATTATTTTAAACATTATTATTAATATTATTAGATATTCATTGTTCAAATATATAACGGTAGATATCTATAATTAAACATTTTTAAAAACATAAAAAAATCAAGAATTAAATAAATATATTAAATATATTTTACAACTGATATATGTACTTATTTCAACTGAAAAATAAACACCCTACAAATTTAAATGATTTACGAACAAATACAATTGGTGTTAAAGCCAAGTTATTAGTTTTGGTGATGTATAGGTGATGTATGAAATTCGTCAAGATTTAATTTTGTTAACTTCATAGATTTATATGGTAAAAACGATTTTTGTTTAAATTTTAATATACCTATTTCATGTATTACACACTATATTAAGCAACTTAATGCTAGATTCGTTTTTTATTTTAAATTTTCATTTACACAAAATTATCAGTGTTCGAAAGCGTAAAAATTTTTAATTTAAATAAATTACTCGTATTTATATATTAAAATACATTTTCATAATTTATAACATTATAAAATTTGTATCAATAATATGTTAAAATGTAATATATGTAATTTATATATTTTTTAGTTTATTAAATATTATAATATTATTACCAGGATATACAACAAAATGAAAATTTGAAATTTAAAATATCTCATATTTATTTACATATTTTACGCATATTTTGTTGGTTTTTTTTTAATAAGATGAATATTACTAACAAATTTCAGTTTCAAATTTTAAATGTCGTATTTTTTAATCAAATTATAATCGTTGATATAGTTTTGTTTAATTTATTTAGTTTTAAAATATTTATGTACATTAAATTGTAGATAATTAAATAACCCTCAATAATTGTTTAATATTAATAATAGAATGTTTAATCCTCTATTTAATAATATTACTTGCTTTCATATAAATTAAATTTTATTAATTCTTTTAATTCTAATGGATTAACATACTATTTTACATTAAAATAATTTTTTATATTAATACGTTGTAGAATATGAAAATTCTGATACATTTTTTACTTTATTTTTATCAAAGGATAATTTTGTATTTACTTTTAAATTATTATTCAAAAATAAATGAATTAATATTGAATTAATATATATGAATATGTTTAGGATTAAATTCCTTAACAAAAATATAAGTTTATATATTATGTGTTTAATTGTGTTTACTTCACGAAATTTTATGAAAATTATGATTTATAAAGCTCTTTAATAACAAAAAAAAAAAATAAAAAAAAAATAAAATTCTAATAAATACAACAGATATAATACGTAATGTTTAGTTGTTATCTAATGAAATTATTCTTAAGCTCTCGAACCACATTTGACAGTTCTATACATTTGATTCGACAATAATAGGACAAATTTCTTTAGACATTATATTTTTAGTCGCTAAGATAAAAAAAAATATTAAAATATGAATGATATTATACTCGGAATGTATTTTATTATTTATATATATCGCATTTAATGATCTGAAACTATACGTTGTAATACGTAATTTATGAAACATTATATTAGGTATTATTTTCAGTTTTTCAAACTTAATTTATGTATTTTAAAATTATTTAGTTATATTACAAATATTAGTAAATATAATTTTATTTAATATGTAATATTATTCAAAATTGAATCATTATTTAGATTTATGTTAGATTCTTACCAGGTATTAATAGTATGTATACTATATGATTGAATATGTGTACCTTTAATAAAGTATTATTAAATGATTATACATAATATTATCTTTTTGAAAAAAAAACTGAAATCGTTTTTGTTATTTTTAAATTGAATATTGCTTACAATATTTTACGAAATAAAGCTGCTATGAAGAGTCTTTTAATTAATGAATTGGCTGCCATAATAACAAGTATTAGCTTAAACTTAATTTTATAGAATTCTTATTTCCGAATAATTCTCACTTTAAAAAATGAATATTTTAAACGTTTTGAGTAAAAAAATGAATTTACTAAAAACTAATTGCTAATCAAAAATACCTCTGCATAAATAAAAGTAATACATAAAAAAAGGTATCAAAGATACCTAATGTAAATAATCAATAGAATATGTGTGTTAAGTTCACAAAAATGGAGAAAGGGGATATCTATGATATTGAATATTAATAAAAACTTAATATAAAATTAGAAATTTTATGAAATTTTATTTTTTTTTACTATTTTAGGCCTTACTTTAAATTTTTTTTTAAAACGATTAAACATATAAAATATAACTTTTTATTTATACTTATTAACGTCTATACACTTAACAAAATAAGAACCGATTTCTTCTATATTATCTATACAATAAATATATTTTATCGTATAATAATTATTCTACCTTGTTATTTGTACAACATATAATTATTATAATTATATGTTATAATTATAATTATAATATTTACATTACATTCCTACATTTTTTTTTTCAAGTAAAATTGTACTAATAAAATTTCATTTATTTTAAATAATTTATGTTGTTAATTTCATGTGGCATTTAATTATTTTTACTCTTCAAGTTTATTTAATACGAAACACTTCATCTCAGATTTACCGCAAGTGTAAACACGTAAATAAAAAGGTAATCAATTTAAATTGAATGCATGTTTTAAATTTTTACTAGATCGTATTTTATTAGTTTATGATTTATGGAAAAAAAAAAAATAAAATTTTAAAGTTAATATTATTAAATAATTTTATACTTATGCTTATTCAATAAGCTTAGCATGTGTTGAAGAAAGTTTGAGCACGTTGCTTAAAATTTTCAAAATTTAACAGTACAAATGTATTATATTATTGTATTTTTATTTTATTTGTGAATACGGGACTAGTACAAAAAGTAATAAGGTTATAAAGATAACATATTTATTGATAAAATATATGATGATTAATGTACGTATAATTTATATATTGAAGTTGTCGTGTAAACATTAAATGTTATCAAATTTTGACAATATTTTATTTTATATATATATATTTTTTTTTTTTAAAAGAACTTTTTATTTTTAACATGTATATTAAAAATAAAAGTATAAGAGTATATATATATATTATATTCAACTATTAGTATTTGATAGTTTTGAAAAATAATATTATTAGTTCATAGGTGCGAGTTATAATATTTTGCATTTTTCTCAGAATTTTAAATTTACAATAAGGTATATTATTTTAATAAGTCTTTTTTAGATAAAATTTAATAAATTATTCTTGTTTTTAAGTTATTGTATGATCATATACAGAAAATGTTGAACTCTCAGTAAATTTTATTTTCCCAAAAAGACATATTATTCATCCACACGTCTTAATGTATCGTTTTCGCTATCATCAATTAAATTGTATTCCTCTGTAAGGTGCTTTCTAAGACTCAAATACTTTAATTTTCTCATCACGAAAATTTTTTTTTTGATTTTTTAAAATAAACATACTTTTTTATCTTATTTTACACGTATGTACCTGTAATGCTGGATGTCACCAACCGTATCAACTCTGGCTAACGGTTAATAATATTGGTTTGTTTGATTATCCCTCTAAAGTAAATATAAATGTATATATTATGTAATACAAACATAAAAAAAATATATTTTTACTTTGTCTCTTATAATTTTGTATACTTGTAGAGTGTATCATGAAGATAAGAGATTTTTATTATATGCAAAAATCATATTTAAATATGTCAACATTTTGAGATAGATATAATATTATGTATTGTTTGCTAAATATTTTTATTATATACCTATCTATTTTGGCGATAGTTTCTATTCTTTAATAAGTTAATATAAATATTATTATAGAGATTATATTGGATTAGATATACATAGTATTTTTTTGTTTTTTAGAAAATACGTATAGGATAAAAATCCCATTTTGAGTTGTAATTTTGTAAAAGTAAAATAAAATAAAATTACGATTTAAATTAAATACAATATGCCATGCAGATTATGATGTTGTAATATCCTAAATACATACTTTTTTTAAATTTAACTTATTAGCTTTCACATCAGTTGCTATTTAAGCTGTTATAACTTCTGAATAATAACGAGTACGCTATTAATTGAAAACTATTGCCATAAACCTATAAATTACATTATTTATAAAATTTTCTTCTTTTTATTATTTACTGAGAAAAAATATTTAATATTATTATTATTACATATTTTTAGAAAATATATAAATCTTAATATTTTTATTTTATTATTAATATTAAATATTATACACTTCTAAAATAAAATAAAATTAAATGTTGACATTATAAGAACTTGAATAGGCAGGTAATACATTTTAATTTTATCAATTTACTTTATATTGAAAAAATGTGTATGATGTATT